AAACCTCTTAGATCAAAAGTTATAGTCATTTAAAATTTTGAAAATTCTCTTTTCGATGAATTCTTGTAAGGTGAGTTCAATCTTGACATTTAAACAAAAAATGAAAATCATTATAATTGTAATCATCAATCTTAGTTGGAAAATTGATAACAACTTTTTTTGCAATTATTTTAGTTTCAAAGAGATGTTTTGGTTTCGATTAAAAACTAACAGATTGTAATATAAATTAATATTTTGTTAATTGAATGTAAATTAAAATTTAATTTCAACAACGATAACGGATAATACAATTTATTCAATTATATTTAAGATTAAAAAGATGCATGAGTTCGAGAGAAATAATTATTACATGGGACACTGGATGTGCAAATAAACACATATTAAACTATTTGGTTTACACATTCAATTAATCTTTATTTAAACACGACCTTCATTATAACATGTCACATGAAACATTCTATTTTTCTTATTTAAAATTTAATATCTGATACCTATCTTTTATCAAAACAATAATTGAGTTCAATACAAACGTGATTATATTTTCTTTCATAGCACCCTAATTAGAATGACCAAACTTAATGTATTCTATTTTGTTCTACTGTATGAACAATAACTTGGACATAAATAATTGTTGTTGATCGCTGAATAATTTTAAAAATACATAAATTGTTAAACCAGAATCCAAAATTCACATTAAAGTTTAATGTAAATTGTTGAATTCTGCCTATTTTTTTTTTATCTGTTATTATGAATGATGGTTACAAGTCTTTGTTTTTTGATAAAGTTACTAAAAAATGTAAAAGGGTAATAATTATCGCTCTGAATGGGATTGGGCTTTTTTTCAAAAAGACTGATATACCAAACATTGACGAGTTTTTTGCATTAGGTGCCAGTTCTTTAGAAGTTAAACCATCATGCCAAGTGATAGCGCAGAAGTATGGGGTGGCATAATCACAGGTATTATGGCAAAAAAACATAACATTAAATATGAAAATATTACCAATGATATAAAATATTCTAATAGTTATTATCCATCTATATTTAAATTGATTTATAATAAGTTTAATATTACGGTAGCATCTTTCGCAGCATAGAGCCATTTAATAACTTGATCGAAGAAACCGTACTAGCTCATGTGTATGCACCTATAAAAATGAGAGTGAATTACGCAAGTGTGAATTGAATTCTAGGTATAACAACAAATACTCATGTTTTGATGAAGATGTAGTAAACAAAGTTAACAAATTCATTCGAGGATGTGAATCTAATGAAACAAAATTTTTATCTATTTATTTAACTGATTGTGAAATATGTATAGTGTTCATGGTGGAAATAGTAAAGATGAAATGAATGTATTTTTATCTGTTTGTGGTCCTGGAATATTAGCCGCTTCAAAAATTAAAAAGAATTTAAGCAATTTGGTTTGCACTCCGATAGTATTGAGTGCACTAGGGATAGAAGTGCCTAAGTATTTTGACGTAAAATTGCCACAAATATCTTTGGCATAACATAACAAAATTTTACTTAATAAAATAAAAACTATTAAATCCAAATTGACAATTATGTTGATATATGCAAGGATTGATAACAAGAAGATGGAACTCTAGCCGAGCCTATTTTTTTTCTTTAAAAGATTGATATTTAGCAGGAGGTTTCATATAAACCATCAAACAAAACCCAATCTCATTGTTATCCATTTTGATAATTGAATCATATCTTTAGAATTGCTTATTTGCTTCACCTCAAGTAGAAGATAAATTAGATCAATGGCTTACTCTTTTACCTGACGAAGAGATTGAGTTAGAAAGGATAAACAATTTTTATATGATATCAACAGGGCTATTATGTTAAAAATAAATCGAAACTAATAATCAATTCAACACAATCTGGTTTTTTTTTTTTACTTATTGTTTATCATTACCCAAATAAAGTTGAGAAATCTGAAAACTTTAGGTTGGTCCCCGGTCTCAAAAATAAGTTTATTTTCAATTTTTGCTATCATTATTGAAATAAAAATTATGCAATAATGTCTTTTAACTATTTGAAAGTTTACAGCTTATTTAAAAACTTCTTTAACGTTCTTTTTGGAAATTCTTTTTTGTTTTCTATCTTGACATTTAAAATTATTATAATTATAATCATTGATCTAAAATCTCTCTTTCAGGTTCAATTTTGATTAGGCTAATTTTTTTGATGTTTAAGTTTTTCTTTCCAGCTAATCATTATTGCCTTATAGACATCTTTTATGTCTTCTAAAAATTCACTAAAAAGTTCCTTTAAATTTACGAAAAAAAATCATAATTTCATCACCGCGCAAAGGCGAAAATAGAGTTAATTCTAGAAACTATCTGGGAAGCATAAAGAAATTTTATCAAATATAAATAATTTTTGTTTGATTGAACAATTGTGAAATTCAATATTTGCAAATTGAACAAAAGTTCTTTAATATTATTAAATCTCTTAATTATGAATGGGAAATTGGTATCAATTTAATAACAAGTTTTAATTGATAAACAAAATCACATTATTAACTTTTCACAAATTGTATAAATTTGCAAATAATATATAATTCATATCTCAAATTCAAGAAATTAAAGACATTTTAAAAGGAATAATCATTTACTTTCAAGCTAGTTAAATCAAATAGTGAGAATCTGTTTAAATTTTTTACTCGATTTTTGAACTCCTATGGCCTCCAATGGCCGTAGGAGTTCAATTTAATCTAATAAAGTCTTATGTTCAATTAAGAGTTAAAAGCTTACCGAATTATGTAACAATATCGACATTATACTAACATTAGAATAACTTATATCAGCACTCCAATGTGTAGTGGTAAGTAATAATTATTTTCTCTTGTAAAAAAAAAAAAACTAGTTTAAGTTTTTTTTTTTTTATAATATGAGTGCGTGAGAGTGAAAACCTGGAACCCGATTTAATGATTTACTATGATCGGTTTCCAGGTTTTCACTCTCACGCACTCGTCAGCTATATTGGAAAGTTCATTCTCGAATGCAAACAGTGATATCTTTTTTTGTTATAAAAGAAATTGGTGAAGCTATCATTTATAGTCATTTTCTAGAAGAATTCGACTTGCATTTTCTCCTTTTTTGGTCAAGAAGAACTTTTTTAAGAGGCAATTCCTAAAAGTATTTCTTTTAATTCTGAAAATAGAAAAATGTTTTTTTTTTTACCTAAATTCATTGAATCGAGAATTGTTTTTAAAGAAAATTTTTTTATTCCTCCTTAACCGGTTTTT